TTAATAATGGTTTAGCAAGTTGTAAATTTTTCAGCAGCATTAATTTATTGAAAGAGGTTTGGTATTTAGCTCACCATATTGGAAAAAGAAGGGATCCTCACAGTTGTTGTTTTTGTTTGTGCACTACACTTTCTCCTATAAATAGAAGAGCTTCAGCAAATGAAGGAAGCACCAAGAAGCGAGAAAGAAAAGAATCAGAAAGGAAATTTTCTAGAGTGTTATTTTTCAGTGAGATAAAAATAGAGTGTTTGAGTAATGAACAGATACACCGGGTTGGGTATCAACTCTGTTACTTCTTTTTTAGGAGTGGGGTCTCACTGGGTCACTATATTTTACATTCTAGTGTAAGAGAGTGTGAAAAGATATTGTAATTATCTTGAAAATATAGTGGAATTGTTCGGAGGTTGTCCTGTGGTTTTTTTTATCTATTTGGAGGTTTTTCCACGTTAAATCTTGGTGTCTTATTTCTTGTATATTTTATTTATTTGGGATATTGTTTGTATGCTCTGTGGTCGCAGTTTAATCAGATCTTCCACATCAGAAAAGAATTATTCATGTTTTATTGCAAGAGATTTCTTTTGTCATTCTTGAGTTGCTGGGATTGGGATTATTGTTCACCATTTTTACCTTGATATTTTTAATTTACATCTTTCGCATTTGCGCATCTGAGCCCAACACTTTGAAAGTTTTTGTGAAAATCAGCAACAAAATCAGACCAACACCGCACCAACAGATACAACAGAGTTAAAATTTTCAGATGTGTCCGGAAAAGAAGATGTCAATTGAGAATACCACAGATCGAGGAAGCTCTCACCTCAGACCGACAACCAACCCATTCTAGTTACCAAATCTGAATCACGTGAACACCTCAGATTCTGTGTTGAACTTTGATAGTGTAAAACAATTTGTGGCTACATACCCAAAGACGAGATACTACGACAACCATGAAGAAGCTTGGTCTCGTCGGCTTCCGAAACCTGTCGGTAGGCGTAGACCTTGCTCACAACGAACTACGAAGGTGCAGTATCGGTTTATCGGTACTTCAGCGACAACAAACAGCAAAACGAAAAAGACTCGCCGTCAAGGATATCAACGGACCGCCACGGAGAAGAATCACAGGGCCGGTCGAGCGAAGGCTCAAATCTGTCAAATTCCCAGACGAGGTAGGCGTGGCAATTTAGGGCTGAGCCGTACCAGGAAGGAGCGGGCCCGGTCTTTCCTCGTCGGTGCTACATCGTGTAGTGGGCCGATTATGTATTGTATATTTTTTTGAGATATTTTTCTGTATATGAGTTAATGAATAAATGAGGTAGAAGATGATAGAGAGATAAAGAGATAAAGAGAGGAAGAGAGAAAGAGAAGGTGGGAGAAATAGATTCTTCATTTATAATTTTTCACTCGAGTTTTCTGCTACAAATATAACTACCATGTGTGGGCCCAACCCCAAAACCACATGCTTACAAACAATCCTCATAACAAAAAGATGCTGAAACATTCAATAAAATAAGGACAAGTGTCCTCCTAAAAAAAATAAAAAGACTTGATTAATAATTATTCCTCAAGCCCACGTGTCGAAATCTCCATTCCCAGCTTCAGTCAAGCAAAAACGTTAACAGGCTTCAATTTTCTTCTCACAACGTTTCACCATTTCTTCCCTAAATTTCTTCATTTGAACCCTAAGATTCCCAATTTCACAATTCACAATATAGTTCACGACACATCGATCAAGCACTAAGGAAAACGCGGCGGTCGAGAGACGGCTAAGATCCGTCGAATTTCCATGCGCGGCAAAAGGACGGACGCATGGTCACGGCGAATTGCCCAGAGGGGTGAAGATTGGAGAACACCTCCGAAGCCGCGATCGATTTCAAATTTCTAGTTGGTCGGAAGCTTAGTCTCGGCGGATGTGAAAACGCGGTGATGGATCGGGAATCCCTGTAATAATTGAGTGAAATATTAAATAGAATGGGACCCACCCATGTGCACTAACTACTCAAATTGGCATTTGCACATGAAATTGGCATTGCACATGGGTCACTTGGAATCAATTCTGAATTGCTTATACCGATCTCATACTGCCAACTACATACGCGTGAAGACAGTTGGCTACCACTTGATCAATTGATTCCTTCATTTTGCCTATAAATAGAGGCCTCGGCAGAAGGAGGAAATCACACAAAACAAAAGAGAAAAAAGAGAGGAAAGAAAGAGAAAGAAAGGAAAGAAAGATAGATTTATGTCCAAATATCGGATATAAAAATATCAAATGAAAAGAAACAAGTGATATTTTTATTTATTTCAGAATATTTTTTTTATTACTAAGTGCTCAATTCTCGATTCCATTCTCGTTCACCGAAATCGTAAATCTGGTGTGCTACGGATTTAGAGACGTTTGCCGTTGTATCTATGGGGAAGTTACGTCTGAACCGTTAGCTGCCACAAGGGGCGTATTCTTCTTGCGGAAAGAGTTTTACTCGCTCGGCTAAAATCTTTCCGTTTTTCAGTTGTAATTTATTTTTCAGTTCAATTGTAATTTTCTATTTTTAGATTATTTGTAAGAACTGAAAATACATATCAGTTTGTAGGATTCTCGTGTAATTCACATTAAGTATCCAACAATCCCCACACAAAACATTAGTGTATCCCGGGGTTACGGAGGGGTTGTGAAACAAGACCGACGGAGGGAAGTTTGGTCTCGCCGGCTTCCGAAAAACTGGCGGGCGGTCGATTGGTCTCGCCGGATCGCTAAAACGCGAAGGTCACCGGCGCCGGATTTTGAAGGGTCGCGATCGAGTATTACTTTTGTGGCTAAGGATGATTCTGGAAGCCGAAAAAGGGTTGTGAATTAGGCTGACAAAATACTGAGGATTTATGGGCGAACTCCACATGAGACTTGGTCATTTTGTTGGGCTGCGGGTCATTTTGTGGCTTTTGGACTAGGCTCAAGAATAATTGGTTTTGGGCCAATCACTTAAGAGTGGGAAATTGCAGCTTCTAGAAGCAGAGGACTTTTGCTGGACTCCCTTATCTGCATTTGCGCTGGGTTGCTGCAATTAGGAAACTTAAAAATTGGGCTAATTATTGCCAATTAACATGGACTATCTTTGAGCTGCCACAAGAAGATTTTAATTTTGGGCCTTTAAAGATTTTGGACGATGCAATACCTACATTTTCAACGTAATGAGTCTCGGGACGAGACTCATTACGAGAAGGAAGTATTGTCATGTACCCGATATAGGAATTATATTAATATTTTACTTAGTGATTTATATTAGTTTATATTATGATAGGTAATGGGTTTGGACTTTGGTTTTTAATTAGTAGGTTAATATTGTTGGACTTTTGTAAGGAAATTCTATAAGTAGTTGTAATGTGGAAAAAAAAAGAAAAGAAAAACAAGAAGTAATATCATTATTTTCTCCATGAATTTCTCTCTCCTCTAACTCTCTCTCTCTCTCTTCCTCACGTGTTTCTTCTTCTCTCCCTCCCCCAATCTCTGTAACTCAGTTTTCTCCTCAAATTAACCCATAAATTATACAAAAATAAAATGACAAAAAAACAAGATCATAACACATATAAATACCACATTAAAAATATTAAAATTAATCCTCGCTTATTTCACCTATATTCAGTTGCTTAGACAAATAATGAAATACCTAGAAATTTTTATTTTTATAAGTCTTCAAAACTTAAGCTAATGTATGAATGTTCTGTCTTCAAGACTGAAAAATAAACGAGAGCTTTCGTTATTTTAATACATACATTTTTTCCTTCATTATCGAAAATATTTCTATTTTAGTGTTAACATTATCAACGCGTAACAGGTAATGTTAAGAATAGTAAGATACATTGTACCACACAAGATTTGTTCATATACAAAAATTACAATTAAAGTCAATGAAACACATAGAATTAAAATGGTTTTCTATAATATATCTCATGTTACACTATAAGTTAAGAATACTTTTCTAATGTTAGAAGAGCAATTTTCTATAATTTTCTGAATATAGTTTTCCCCCTATGACTCCACACGTTACACCTATATATTAACATCTTTGAAGACCCAAACCACTCCAAACTCGTATTTTTCAACTATAAGGCGTCATTAGTCAAACACTCACTCCATCTTTGGTAGAAAAATTTCATTTAATTTATGATTCGATATCGTCAATGTAGAAAATACCACACGCATCACGGTGAATTATATCTTTGAAGACCCAATCCACTCCAAATTTGTATATATATTTTATTTTAATATTCATATACTCTTTATACAACAATATAAATAACACTAAAACAATACCCGTGTATTATACGAGAACTTATTAAAAATTATTTTTAAATTTTAAAATTAAAGAGGAAATTTGTTTTAAGTTTTATTAACTTTTTTTTAGAAAAAAATATATATTCTTATATATTTTAGAATAACACTTGTTACTTGTGCGACTTACATGTGTTATATCATATAACTACTTGAAATATAATTATATTAATTGATAAATAATTTTATTTTTTTACTTAATACAAAAAAATAATTTTATTATGCTAAGAAAGATATATATAATTTTTTTATACATACAATATGGATGTTAAATGGAAGATCACTAAGAGATGATTAATTTGATATATTATATGTGTGGAACAGATAAAAAATACAAAAGTTATTAACTTTTAAAATACATTTACTATTCAACGATTATAATAAGAAATAATATTTTAAAATTCAATTAATACATTTAAAATGATTATAGATAATCAACATATTTATTTATAGATAATTTTGACTTAATTATTTTTGGTTTGGAAGTAAATTAAAATCTACCAAGCTTAATAACAAAACAATTAATTTTGCCACATAGAATATCGAAACATGCGGGCTTGCCACTTAGGCTCAGCACATTCTGAATTTATAAATAGAGGGATTTCACCACACACTCAACAAGAAGCCAAAAAAAGAAAAAATAAAATAAAATAAAGGAAATAAAAGAAATTAAGAAAACATGTCCCTCAAATCTCGCTCTTTAGTTATTTATCCATTGATCATCTTGTTGAGTGCGATGGTTTTGCTTCCCAATGTAGCCTACTCCTTGGGCGTAGGCCAGCCGGTGACCTTGAGACCCGAAGATCTCAAGGGCGAGGAGGTGTTGGAGGTCGGTAATTTCTCGGTGACCGAATACAACAAACAGAACAACAAAAATCTCGAATTTAATGACGTGGTCGGAGGGACCAAACAAGTGGTGAACGGAATTAAGTACAGTCTGGTGGTCAACGCCACGGATGCCGGTGCTGCCGGGAACTACTCCGCTGTTGTGGTGGTCAAAGCGCGGGAGAAGATACCCAATACGCTCGTATCCTTCATAAAAATATGAGGGGCAATTAATTATATATTATGTGCTTTAAATAAATTTCAGCTGAGCAAGAGAATAGTAGTGAGTCACGTACGGGCGTGTTTACGTGTGTAATAAGGCTCCTTGCAAGAGAGCTTGGTTAATGAAATAACGAGTCTTCGGAGTTCATATGTTCAGCCCACAATTTCATCTCTTTGCATTCGGTATTTTTTTTCCCCTCATTTTATCATTTTTTTTTTCTTTTTCATTTTTAACATGGCGTAATTAACTTGCGTTTGAGATGTGAGACTTGGTAGGCCAGCAAAAGGGGATGGTTATCCATGGGGCCTGTTCATTCACCGCAGCTCCCGATTATGGGAGATGGTAGGTGAACGGTCCGACATTTTGGGCAGATTCCCCAGGGTGTTTGGCGTTGTGCCTTCCTTAGTGCCCGCCTTCTTGTCACCCTTGAAACTTCCTAATCATGCCCAGTGCGCATCGTTTTTACACTCCCCAATTCCTTTGGTACTCTCGGCACTCAAAGGCTACATCAAACTATGGGGTATCTCCCCATAGGTATCGGTCGGACAGACAGAGGATTAGATCGGGTCTTATCCCTGATCCCAAGGGTGTTCTCGAACACTACACTATGTGACCCCTTCGAGACATTCCTGAGCCTTGTATTCGGTGTGTTATCCGGAGCATTGGAGTTGTGTGTTGAATGTGTTCTCCTTTTCTTTCTTTCTTAAATCGTCCAACCGCTTGCTCCTGCCCAACTCAGTTTAGTCGTACCATAATGCGCCTGGACTCAACACTTTTCTTGCTCCAAAACCACCCTCTAGCCCTCATGTCAAATAGATGACAGAATTGTAAACAATCTTAGAATGTTTTAAGCTGAGGAACAAGCAAGGGATTGAGCAACTAGCGCGAAAGCCGTTGCGTGTTAGCGCATCCGTTTTCTTGCTGGTCCGAAACTAGAATAGCTGGAGTCGGAAAGGGCTCGTACCTCGGCTATTCAAGAGGTCAGGGGTATTCTCCTCGAATTAATATCGTAGGAAAGCCCATTTAACTTTAGTAGTCAAAGTTTCAAGGTCTGGAGCTCATTCAGTATTCAACTCAAGTGAAGCTGAAGGGGCAAGTCCAATCCGACTAGCATCGGTGGCAAGGGATCGCGTTGGGAACATCTAAATATGTTAATAGGTGTGGTAATCCTGGATCGCTAGGAGAGTCTTCAGACCCAGAGATTTGCCGACATAATTTCAAAATTGGTCATATAATTTGGTCACAATCTAAAAAATTACCCCGATATTGACCACTTTCAAAATTGGTCATATAATTTTAAAATTTAATCAAATTTGGTCCTTTTGATCCGGAACATGAATTAAAATGTGATTAAAAAAGAACCAAATTTGATTAAAAAAAGGACCAAATTTGATAAAATTTTAAAATCATATGACCAATTTTGAAAGTGGTCAATATCGAGGTAGTTTTTTGGACTGTGGCCAAATTATAGGACCAATTTTAAAATTATCCCTTTTGTTTGATTCGATAGACTATGAAATGTTTGAAGGGTGAATGATAAGAATTTAAAGGGTAAATTGTAAAATATAGTCATTATCTTGTACGCTGTTGCAAGATGGTGGCAAGAATGACCACCATCTTTACGAATTGACAATATTAGCCAACAACTTTCAAAATTTCGAGATTATTACTCAAATCCAACCAAATTCGACAGATAAATCGCAAAATATAGTCAACATCTTTTTACGCAGTGACAACAATAGCCATTGAATTGAATTTGGTCGGACATGGGTAATAACCCCAAAATTTTGAAAGTTATTGACTAATATTGTCAATTCGTAAAGATGGTGGTCTATTCTTGCCACCGCGTACAAGGTACTGGTTATATTTTGCAATTAAACTGAATTTAAAATTGATCAAAAAATAAGTTTCGGATTGAATCAAATTTTTTTAAAGACTTTAACTCAAAATATAACTCAATATCACTATTGTTAGTATTATCAGTATAATTAAATAATATTATCTAAAAAAAATTATGATCATTTAAAATGATTGCGGTGGATTTGCATTTAATAGTATTTGATCAATTTACAGCCTTTACTTTGCATTTGATTGCTACCCAAATGACTCGTACAAAAAGCTCTGTGAAATGGTTACATAAAATCTTTTAACAAACCTACGGGAATGTGTAGTCAGTTCCTTATCGACATTTACAATGTACATACAATTGTCATCGTGATTGCGTTTTCGATCTTTTCATGTTTTTTTTTTGGCTAAAGAAACCGAAACTTTACGCGCAACAACATCGAATTGAAAAGAGCAAGAACTAAAAAAAGCAAACATATCTGCAGGCTTCCAAATACTGCATCCACATGCTCTAAAACTCGATCAGTCTATCACTAAGCGGGTCACCAGTTCCTTGCAGTCCAAGAGGCAAATTATTTTCTTCCATTTGTGCTTCACGGCCTTATGCAGCATCCGCATAACCCCTGCAACATGGGCCTCCGATCCACTGAACTTCCAAGGGAAATCCCTAGACGAATCTCATAGCTGCAAATCACCCTCTTTGTTGAAAGCTCTACCTCCCAGACTCGGTCTCTCATTAGCCTACTGAACTATCCTATCTTCCTTCACCACAATATTGCATGGTCTTGCACTTTTGACAATTTAAAAATCAAATAACCATTAATAAATCAATCATCAACAATTATGTATATATATAAAAATAAAGCAAATTAGAAATTAATAACAACATAAATCATAACTCAACCAATCATAAACACTAAAAATTAGTATATTAATTAGTATTAAAAAACACAAAAAAAAAACTTCATAAATACGTAAATAAAGAGGAGTTAGAAATTTGGGGAGTACTAAAATTGCTCTTTAAACTCAGTAAACAATGAATGTTCACAAGTATAGCGGAAACTAATTAAACATAAAATGAACTTTCGGAAGTGCATCTCACTCTCACTCCTAGATCTCATGTACTTTGATGGGTTCTGCATGAACAAGTACTTCACAATCTTTACAACCTTAATGGAACATACAACTATGACAAGCATATGATACCAAAACAATCAAAACTCGGAGTTGTTCACAACCGGTTCTACCTCGATCCCGGTAGTGACTCATCAACTAGTTATATTTTAACTAGAATTGTATAGATAAAAGGTACGTATATGTTTAGTAGTGTGGTGAATTTATACATCAACATATTTGTATTTGGTGATCCGTGCCTATAATTTTGTCGCCTCAATTTGAAATTAATTAAAGAGTCCATCAGTGCTAAAATACATTTTAAGTTTGTAATTATTCTATTTTTAATATGATTAAATTTTGTTAATATTTTTAACAATTTTACGGAATAAAGTAATAAGCTTATTTATTTATTTTTTTAAAAAACGATGAAAATAACCATAGATTACGTGGATCTTTTGCGCCACTAGTTTTGGAACCCTTGCCAAAACTGCCTTACCTTTTAAAAATTTTTGTTATTGTAAATAACATTTTACCCCCGCACCACACACACCAACGACAAACAAAAAATATAAAAAAAAAATAGTAAAAGGAAAGGAAAGAATCAAAATATGCCCCTCAAATCTCCCTATTTCATATTTTTATTGATCTTGTTGAGCACACTATGTTACACCTACAAGCATCTTTAAATGGGGAAAAATTCAAACTAGTCCCGGATGACATTTTTAATCTCAACGGAATTCATAAAATATTAATAGTCCCGCAACTTTAAAAAATCATCAAAAGTTGGACTTTTTTCAATTTTTCGCCAGGAATGCCACGTCGCACCAAAGTCAAGTCATAAAAAAATAAATATATATTGCCCCAACAGTTTAAAGCAATAATTTCATATTATGTATCCGAGCAAGTCACAAATAATTGTAATTATAAGGTGATATATATTAATATATTTATAGTTGCAAAAATTTATATTTATTACTTTGTTATTTGTCTCAACTTTGTTCTTTATATATATAATTTTATTATTTTGAATGCATTTTAAAAAAACAAAACAGTGACACTATTTTTTCTTTTCTTCAGGATCACTAATATTTTCACTAGCATTATCTTATAGATAAAAGGTATATGTCTAGTTAATAGAGTATTCATACAGTTGTAATACTTAGTTGTACATTTAGCTTTATTAGTTGTATTCTTCCTTTATATGT